CTTATTATTCAGACATATAGTGATGGTTACTTAATGTGTTAATAAATGCTTTATTAACATGTATTAATGCTGTAATTAAGGATTAATTTGGGTAGTTCTAAAGCATTTAGTAGTGGTCAGTTAACTATTTTTGTGACCTAATCTAAAGTGAGGACTAGTCATGCCTTGTAAAGCATTTTTAAAGGCTGTTAAATATTTCTGTGTTCTGTATCACTGTGTTGTGTTTGTTACATTTTACTGTTTAGAAGATTGACGAGTCTTTAAATCGCCTTTATAAATGCTTTACAAAGCATGAATAGTCCTCACTTTAGATTAGCTCACAAAAATAGTTAACTGACCACTAATAAATGCTTTATAACTACCTGTATTTACTACATTTACTTACACTTTCTAAGTGGTCTTATAAATGACAACTCTTAAAGGTGCATTGCGCAACATTTCATGTTAAAAATAGCCGTTTTCTAACCCATACATACTTAAACAATCGCCTGATGAGCTGAATGAGCCCTTCTCTGATCACTGCGATCGCCTCTATAATCCTGTACAGTGAAATATATAAGAGGGATTCGGGCTCGAATCTGAGACTGGGCGTGACGTCATGCGCGTTCACGCTCGCCTGGCTGTGTCTGGCAGGTTCGTGTAGCTATTCGCCGCCGTTCTCCGTATCAGAGAAGACAACTCGAGCGACACAACTCTAGTCAGCTTTCCACAAAAGTAGACGATGGATTCAAAGGGGCTGTTTACACCTGGTCACTTCATGTGTCTTCTGTGATCGGATAGCTATTCGATCGTGAAAAGACCAGGGTGTAAATGCCCTCCGAAACGCGTTAGAGACGGATGAATCCGATCGCTCAAATCACTTGAGGACGTGGTCTGGGCCGCATTCCAGACGAAATTGGACAAGTGTAAATGCATCTGGTTGTTGAAACCAAGCTATATGTCATGTTATTTTAGTCATATATGACGACGCGCATCACCTCAGATGAGCAGCTGAGCTGAGCAAGCCAGCGCGCCGCAATCTATCGCAAATCAAAGTGAAAGTAAGTCGCAGACGCTTAACACTACCATCTTCATTAAAAGTAAAGAAATGAATTGATCTTACCAGGCCTGTTGCCGATCTCTCTTATTGCTGTCTTTGCTGATTTTGAAATTAGCCGATGATTAATAAAATCCAGCTCATATCTGTTGCTTTCGGTGACGTGCACTTCATATCTGTATGGCGCGGAAAGAGACCGGCTTGTAGTTCATTACAAACCCCAACGCAAACTCCGCGTGAGACAAAGAAAATAAAACTTCAGTCTGTCCAGTGCCAGGCGTCGGAATAAGACGAGAGTCAACATCGGGAAGCTTTCAACAAACGGAGAGATCTCCGGTCTGCTCTAGGGCTCAAACGGTTCCTATACAAAGTGATAACTGAACGTGTTTCCATAATAATTCAATCATAAGTGGATACAGTAAGCACAGGGAGATAGATGGAAACAAAAACCGAAGTTTTCTACTACCCCCGTTTCCCCCTCTCACACACATTGTGTGTAATTTACTCGAATGCCTTTCCTTTCATATATTTTAAATGACTTGCAGATTTATTACTGTATTACCTCATTATGACTGTAACAAAAGATGTGTGCCGCACAGTGTGCGGCTGATGCTCCTTAGGTTATGAACAGCTCGCGCAAACGTGCGTGTGTGTGTGTGTGTTCCTCCATGAACGCGCATAGCTCTGGTTGCAGTTTCGCTTGTCGCCAGAGGGGGCGTAGTTCTGCAAAAACTCAGAGACTTGCGTTTAGCTCCTTTAAACAACTGGTTTGCAAATAATGTTATACTTCATTTAGAAATTATTAATTGATCATTAACAAAGTATGAAAATACAATCATTAAACGCATTATAGATATGCTTATAAATCAAGAAAAAAGCATGTATAGCTATATTTATAAACTGCATATTAATGTCTATTAATGTTTTATAAATGATGTATTAACTGTTTACTCATGCTTAACTAATGATTAATAGCGTGCATTAATAGCGACATTCAACAGATGTCTTAAGATGCTAAGTTGATCATTGACTTTTTTTCTATTTCTGGGAGATGGGGATGGGGGATGGAGGGGGGGTGGGTGAGGGGGGTCACTGTTGCATGTGTGTAACTGCCTTGTTCCAAACTCAGTCGCAGCTGACTGACAGTGAACCACAATGTGGCTGTAATTCCAAACAGTCAAAAATCACAGGAAGTCTCTAGTGACACCAGCATAGGTAGACTATGAATACAGTTAAACATTATCATGTTCATTATGAAGAAAAAATCAGATCTCTGAATCCTTCTCTTTTAAAACTACTGGGTAAAATACAATTTGAAATAAGCAATAGACCCTGATCCTTATGGTGAGTCATCTGAGAGAAAGAAAAAAAGGGTTATCAATGATCTGAACCAAACAGTCTTACAGAAGTTGCATGTTGGTTTAAATGAAAATGACAGGACGTACATGCAGTATTTGTGTATAACTTCAATCGTTGTGTTGAAACCCATGATTCTAAACAATATTTATGTCTCTAGGCAAAGAATGAAAAATCATAAACATATCGAAAGAAATATCTTCACTAATACTTGAATTAAAGCGCGCAAATTCCAAAATGTGAACTTATTTTTTATTTTTTTATTTTTTTTGCAACTGACACTTTTAAGGTATTTGATAACATGCTCAAAATGTTTAACATTCTTCATGAGAAAGAAAAAAAAGCTGTTAAAAAAATGTTGATTTTAGTATGAATGAGTTTGTTTGAATGGTTGTGTATGTGAAATCTCTAATTACTGCTTCTCGTCACGTAGTGACTGCCTGCAATTATGATCCATTTAGTGTTGTACTGTCTTCGTTATTTGTGTGTATGTGTTTAAAAAAATGTCCAACATGGTTACTATCTAGCGTTGCACTGATTGTCTTTTTTTTTTCCTTGCTCAACAAAAAAGAAAAGAAAAAGAAAACACCGCTGGGGAGATGATGACAATTCATGTGTTAATGTTTACTCAAGGACATTATGGATTTATTTTCATCCTAAAATATTAAAAACCTGTAAAATTGTATCCTCATGGCTTTTATTGTGGAATATATCCCACAAGAGTTATGATTTTGGAGTTAAGAGGTTTGCATAATTTCAGCTGCATTATTTGAAAAGAATACTTAAAAATAATAATAAAACTAAACTTTGGCCATAATGAGAAAGTTAGTAGAGAGGCAGTAACATTCATGAACAGTAAAGATAAACAGATGCGAGTTTGTGACATTCTGACTCATTTCAAAAGGTGCCTATTTCTCTTCCATTCTGTGAAATTATTTTTTCTTTTAAAATCTACCTGCCGTTTACAAATGATGGAATTTTCAGAAATTTAAAAAAAAAAGGAAAAGGAAGGAATTTACTACAAGAATGCAAGAAAAATACTAAGATTACAATCACATATTTCATCAAATAAATAAATAGAAAAACAAGAAAAAAAAAACTTTTTTAAATGAACATGTATGCTACTTGCTGAACTCTGGGATTGTTTCAGTGTTGCGTTGAATTTGTCTTATGAATTACATTATTGTTCTTGTTGGTTGAACTTATGCCAAAATGTTTTTTAAATTTTCGTTTCTGTAAAAGCAACATAATTCTGTCAATGCCTTGCACACTGACAATGGACTTGAATATTTTCTCAGGAAGATTTGAGGTCCAGAGTTCCAGTTCCACTGTTAAGATGTTGATTATCAAGAGAATTGAACAAATCATTTTATGAAAAGAGGACAAAAGATGTAGATAGAAACCCAGCTTGAAACACTGAAGGTTATGAATTTAAAAAAAAAATGTCTTTTTGAATTTTAATTAGTAGCTTACACACATTTACCAAAAAATTGATTTGTAATGAACCTATGCGTTATATTTCTTGAAGTTGAGTGCTTTCCATTTAAAATGTATGTATCTATCGCTTTATGTACCAATACAGTTTTGTTTATTGGTTAGGTTGTGGAAAGACCTAGCACTGTTTGATTTTACCTTGCTTGATGTTTCTCAACGAGGTCAAGTGAAAGATATTGATATTCCATCCTCTTGTTTTAGAAATTAAGTAGAGGTCTGTATGCAAAGGCCTGATAATTGTATATCAACACATAGAACTTGAACTCCTACCATTTTCTTACTAGTTTTTAGACTGTAGGTTGAAAATACTCCATCTAGATTTAAGACTAAATGACGAGTAATTAAAATGTTGTGAAAGGATTAAGAATCTATGCACAAAAGATTGAGGGGATAGGATGTCCAATCTATTCTCACAAGGATCTTTTTGGTGGGGGGGGGGGGGGGTCATATGCTTGTTACAAGTTTTCTTTGTACAAGTTCTGATTTGAATGAGCAGATTTTATTGTGGCACCACCATGTCAACCAAGGAGCATCATCAACCAAGCACTGTGGGTTTATGCCAATCTTTGACATTCTAGTGTTTAAAAGGAATGATGGGTTGTGCAGGGTTTTGTGAGAGGGAATTTAATTGTTTCTCTTTATTGTTCAGATATTAAGAAACATGACTGTACTGAGATTAAACAATGTTGCTGGCTTTTAAATGTGTTTTCCTTACCCTTAATAGAATGTGATCGTTGAGGACTTGCACCGAAAAAGTCTTTCCATGTGGTATGGAGATTATTTCAGCCTATATTAATAAACAGCATTTTTTTTGTGTGTGTTAAACTGTGTTCATGTTTTATTTATGCCGTGGGCTACTATTTCATGTACACTCCATTTAGTAAACATTTGAGTAGAATTTTCTTGGAACTCTCTGTGGAGTTCCTTATATGCTGGTCGATATGGCAGTTATGCTGACTCAAACCCAGTCAGTCTTATACTGACATCTAGCGGTATGTCCAATTTTATTGCTGGTTTGAAATGTGAGATTGGCAAGCAGGTTTTTATATGTTTTATTATTTAAATTAGATGCTGTACTTGAATGACCAAAAAATAGATGCCTTTTTGACTTGCCTTGACTGGGACTTTGTTTGCAGTCAGATATGATTCTCTGGAAATCTATTCTCTGGATTCTCTGGAGAGCTATTCTCTGGAAAAAGGGTACTGAGATAAAGCAGATGTATGCAGATGACTTAGTGTTACTCTCACCTACTAAAGAAGGTCTGCAGCAGCACCTCAACCTCCTGCAACGATTCTGTCAGACCTGGGCCCTGACAGTCAACACAGTAAAGACTAAGATAATGATCTTTCAGAAACAATACAGAAATCAGGTTACACACAATTTCTATTTGGACACCACTAAATTACAACACACAAAAAACTACACTTACCTTGGCCTCAACATTACATACACAGGAAACCTCAACATGGCTGTGAAAGATCTGAGGGACAAAGCAAGAAGAGCTTTCTATGAAATAAAAAGAAACATTAAAACCTATATTCCAATTGAAATCTGGCTTAAAATTTTCCAATTTGTACTAGAACAAATAATTCTATATGGTAGTGAAATATGGGGACCAAAACTCAATAATGATTTTGACAAATGGGACGAAACAATCATAGAATCTTTCCATAGCGAGTTCTGTAAGAGCATCCTACAGGTGCAGAGAAAAACACCTAATAACCTGTGCCAATATCTCACGACCAATTCGACGCATGATTAAAAAGTGTCTAATTAGACCTAATTCGTACGATTTGTCTAAACCCACGTGATGGTTATATGTACGATTTAGCAAAATCGTATTAATTTGTACGAGTGAGGTCGTATGAATTGTTACGAATTAGCCACTTTTTAATCATTCGTCGAATTCGTACAACTTGGTCGTGAGGGTTACCCCCTCTTACTAAAAATACAGAAAAGATCAATTAAATTTTACAATCACTTAAAATCAGTTAACCCCCAGACATATCATCACAAAGCCCTAACATAGCAGGAGCTGAAAGCAGAAGAGAGTCCCCTCAGCCTGCTGGTGCGGAGGCTCTCTGCAGGAACAGGTCCACAACAGGACAGCAACGCCAACTCTAGCAGACCAAACCGAATGATCAATACTGGAAAGAAACGACCAAAACACAAAGTAAATCACAATGTTATCTGACCCTAAAAACTGAATCCACAATGGCAAATTACCTGAGTACAATAAAATGTCCTAAACTAAGAAAAATGTTGACAACATACAGATGTGTGAACACAGCCTGGCCATAGAGATGGGTCGCCACAGACAGAGCTGGCTCCCAAAGGACCAGAGACTCTGCTCCCAGTGTGACCGGGGACAGGTCAAAACAGAGTTGCACTTTCTAACCTCATGCCCCAAATATAATTCACTAAGACAAATAAAAAAAACACTTTACATACATTTCTCAATATACCCTGAATTCGAATCCATATCAGACACACAGAAAATCCCATATTTACTGGGAGAAAAGCCCAAATGTGACATAATTGCTGCAAAATATATCTCCTCATGCCATGAAATCAGGACAACCAGTGGAACCTGCAGATGGATAAATAATTGTACAAATTTTCAAATAATAATTTTTTTATATAATTTTTTTTTAATTATTATTATTATTACTGTTCACTTGTATTTATCTATATGTTTATATGTGTCTATTGCTTTGACAATATTGTGATATTTTACACATTCATGCCAGTAAAGCTAATTTGAATTTGAATTTAATGCATTCCGTTTTTAAGACTTTTTCTAAAAAATAAAAAAAAAAAGTTAAAATATTACTAAGGGTAAATACTGACTAAAATTATGGGTAACACTTTAGAATACTGTATCTTACTTACTGCATAACTAATAAGGAATTAATGAAGAACTAATGGGTAATTCTTTATTAACACTTAAGTCACTACTGTTAACTACTAAGGAATATGTGTTAACTAATCAGTATGTAATATAATTTTATGATTGCGTTAAGTATCAGTTAGTTAATCAATAGCTAATGAATTCTGTCATACCTTCTGAAGAACTACTATTAATTATATATTAATTAAGGTTCAAGAAAAATAACTATGAAGTAACTAATTAACAGTCATACACAGTATTCAGTTTGTCATTCTTCAGCACTAATAAGAAAAATAAGTGCAGACATTTACCTATAGGCTATGATCTGCAAATAAGCAAAAACATCTCATGTATATAACACCTTATTATTATACTTAGTTCTTATACATTTTAAACTTCTTTTGCACCATTCAAGTTCCGGCAATATGGCGGTAGCCACATACACTGAGCCTGGGTTCTCCCAAGGTTTTTTTCTCCATTCTGTCACCTGATGGAGTTTTGGTTCCTTGCCACTGTTGCCTTTTTCACTTCTCTTCGCCTTTGTCGCAAGTAACTGTCGTGTATTTTACAAAGGTTTAGATGATTACGTTAATATATATAGGCTAATATTTTTTTTTATTTACAGTAAGTTTGATTTGAGTCAGAAGTATGTGGTAATTCTTTATTAATTACTAATGGGTTCCCTATATTGTCACTTTAGAATACTGTTTCAGGCTCTAAGTAATTCCTGAAGGACTATCTAATAATTATTTATTAATTACTAATAAGTTCCTTATATTTTTACTTTAGAAGACTGTTTCAGGTTATAAGTAGCCTAATTCCTAGATAATTATTTGATAATTCTTTATTAATTACTAATGGGTTCCCTGTATTTTCACTTTAGAATACTGTTCCAGGTTCTAAGTAATTCCTGCAGAATTATTTGATACTTATTTATTAATTACTAATAAGTTCTCTATATTTTCAGTTTCCCTCAGTCGTTGCCTCAAATACATGAATTTACTCAGTGGCATTCTATGCTGAGGAAAACAGACACACACAGTACTGTATATAAAATATACAAATAATCTGAGGTTAGTTTTGTATGACTGTTCAGTAGTTAATTCTTAGTTATTTTTCTTGAACCTTAATTAGTAGATAATTAGTAGTAGTTCTTCAGGAGGTATGACAGAATTAATTAGTTATTGATTAACTAACTGATACTTAACACAATCATAAAATTACATTACATACTGATTAGTTAACACATCTTCCTTAGTAGTTAACAGTAGTGAAGAAGTAGTTAATGAAGAATTACCTATTAGTTCGTCAATAATTCCTTATTAATTCTGCAGTAAGTAAGATACAGTATTCTAAAGTGTTACCAAATTATGTAATATGTAGCTAAAAGGCACATGCAAAAACTAACTTGCTTCAGCCTTTGATTATTGTGGTTTGGTTTTGCATTGCCTTAGGCGTAGAACTTTTGCAAAGTTAGTATCATGGGTAACACTGTTTAGAATAACACTGCATAACTAATAAGGAATTACTGAAGAACTTTTTTTTTTTTTACAGTAAGTTTGATTTGAGTCATGCAGAAGTATGAGGTAATTCTTTATTAATTACTAATGGGTTCCCGATATTTTCACTTTAGAATACAGTTTCAGGTTCTAAGTCATTTCTGAAGAATTATCTAAAATCTGAAGTTGATTTCTTACAGAACACTCTCACAAAAGCACACTGGAAAACTTCAACTTTAACATATTTGTTTAAATTAGTTTTGTAAGACTGTACATTAGTTACTTCTTAGTTGTTTTTCTTTTTTCTTTTTTTTCTTTTTTTTTCAATTGCACATAATACAAAATTAGTTATTTTTCTTGAACCTTAAATAGTAGATTAGTAGCAGTTCTTAAGGAGGTATGACAGAATTCATTAGTTATTGATTTGCTGTTACTTAACACAATCATAAAATTCTATTACATATTGATTAGTTAACACATCTTAGTAGTTAACAGTTGTGAAGAAGTAGTTAATGAAGAATTACCTACTAGTTCTTCAATAATTCCCTCTTAGTTATGCAGTAAATAAGATACAGTATTCCAAAGGGTTACCGTATCATGTTAACTCTACCTGAACCGGTAACACTTTAGAATATGGTTCCTTCATTAATGAATAACTTATTAACAAGAAACTCTGATTAACAAACTAGTAAGTTATAGCGCACAGGTGAAAGTGGTAGTTCACTATTAACTAATCCATAACTACTATTTTTTTAATGCTTCCCAGAGAACTACTGAAAAAGTTTATTAATAATCTAGTAACTACTATTAACTAAAACAAACTCTTATTAACAAATTAGTAAGTAATAGCTCACAGATTAAAGTGTAGATACTTTTGTGGGAATTACTAATTATTTGGATCCGTATTATAAAGTGAAGACCATGGGAACTAACTAGTAATGACTCAAGTGTTACTTAAGAAATTTTCTAAAAGTATACTAAAGTTCACCAAATATCTCAAACGCTTGAAATGACTTTAGTGTTTGGTTGCACAAATCATGACTAGATCATGTAGTAACACTTGAGCACTTGATCTTCACTTTATAATACGGATCCAAATAATTAGTAATTCCCACAAAAGTATAATAACACTTTCATCTGCGCACTATTACTTACTAATTCATAATCAGAGTTTTGTTTTAGTTAATAGTAGTTATTAGATTGTTAATAAACTTTTTCAGCAGTTCTCTGGGAAGTATTAAAAAAATAGTAGTTATGGATTAGTTAATAGTGAACTACCACTTTTATCTGTGCGCTATTATTACTAGTTAGTTAATCAGAGTTTCTTGTTAGTTAATAATAGTTACTAGATTGTTAATATTGCATTACTCATTGGTTCTTGTGTAGTTATTCATTAACGAAGGAACCATATTCTAAAGTGTTACCCCTGAACCTACTGCTAAGGGACAGAAATACAGACTAAATAATGAAGCCCTATATTGTCTTTCTACAATCTCTTAATAACAAATTTAAATATATTGGTGTAAATTGCTTTGAAGCTGCAGTCCGTAACATACATAGTCCGTACATAACCAGCCAGTGTTCAAAACTATCTGCTTGCTTTAGCTCGATTCAAAACGGTAAGCACATGCAATATGCAAAAAACGGTAAAAACCTGTAATAAAGTTTTTCATTCCAATGATACTGGTGGATTTCCGTGGGAATTCAAGCATGTCTTTGTGTCATTACGTCACATCTGTAAGCATAAAGAAGGACTCTCGGCTAGTAGGATGAATTGCGTGTGAGGATGTTGGAGGTGGAGATTTATAGCCTTTTCTCACAGCACTTGATATAATTAAACTTATCAATTTGATGGGGGATCCAGAAAGGTTGAAATGAAAATCACTAGTGACAACTGGAGATTCACCCGTTGTAAAATGCAAAAGACTTCAGAGTAGCTAGAGAAAAAGAGAGACTGCAACCGGGACCATGCGAAAACAAGGATAAATATCGGAAAGGCTTTTGAAATAGGTTCAAAACAGAGACGGCTTTTTTTGGAAATAGGCTCATTTTACAACTCCCCCAGAGTTATACAGTTGGGTTTTACAGTTTTCAAATGTATTCAGACGATTTCGGATATTTAAGAATATCAGTAACCAGACAGTTTCTGGTCTCATTGACTTCCATAGTAGGAAAAAAAAAATATATACTATGGAAGTCTATGAGACCAGAAACGGTCTGGTTACTGATGTTCTTCTAAATATTAGAAAATCGGCTGAATGGATTCAAAAACGGTAAAACCCAACTGTTTAACTCTGGGGGAGTTGTAAAATGAGCCTATTTCCAAAAAAAGTGGAGTATTCCTTTAATGTTAATCACGCAATTGCTGATGTTGCTAACATTAACAATTTGAGAACAAAGAATAATTTGCATGCTTTGACGTGATATGATAAGCAGTTGTTATATTTAATCAGCGTGATTTACTGCAATGCTTTTTTTCCCTTAGTTGTTCGGAACAAAAGTGGATGTTACTTACTTGTTCAGATGACATTTTCCAGTGAAAATTCTTATGTTGGTCATAGTTCCAAAAAGTAGAATCTGTGATTCTGAATGACAGTATCCACACCGGCGCGGCGACTTACAGCCGCACATCCTCCTCAAAACATTGGATTCATCCACGTTGTGCCGTGCCTAGGGACAACCCACGTAAAGTTAACAATTCCGCGAATAACTGCAATTGCAGATTTCAAAAAGACATGGCGACAAAGAGGAAAAACTACGGACCACAGCTTTAAATAAAGCATTTCCCAAATTACAAAATCATTTAGGCCTAGATTTTCTGATTCCTCTGTTGCACTTATACAAATCGTACACAAGGAGGCCGTATTGAGCCACATGAATTTCTATACTCTCCCCTTGCCACAGACAACATCGACAATTTACAAGTACCCATCAGGCCCTTGAGACTCATTTGTCTAATCTTTATTGCATAAACATTCAGGTCAATAATTCAGGTCAGCTTGTCAATAATCTTTATACTTCATTTCAGCAACAGTGCCTATATACTGTAAATCATAGGCACATATACATGAGAGTAATTATGTTGGTCTAATAATGTAATGGTGGGATTTTTACTCTCTTCTATCAGCTATGCCTTTTTTTCTTTTCTTTTTTGGAATATGCTTGGCAATTGTATAGATTAAGTCACGAGTCTAAAAATGTGTGTGTAGGTGTTGCATGTTATAAATAACAGTCTATATGTTACCATGGAAATATATCCTCAGGACCAGTGCCAAGAGATACTGTGGGAAAGAGCATGCTAAGTTTTCTGACACAGAAAAAAAAATGTGTTGGACGAGGAAATGTTTTCCTTATGCATTTTAAAAGTGGTTAATTAGAGAAAATTATATAATCCTAGAAAGATTTAAAATAACAGACACAAGGCCACAGGCTGCAGTCAGAACAACATATGATGGTTAGTGTGGTATAAAAAAATCCAATACTTCTCCTTAAATTCTAGTAAGCTGAGAAGCACTGGGATTCACTATATCACTGCTAGTCTTAAGTTTATGAAGTTCCAAGTTGTTGTCAGTCTGTGTATTGGTGGGTATTTTTACGCAACATTTTTTTGCAGGTTCACTTATTAAAACAGTAGGTCTATGGCAACAAGAGACTTTTAGTATGAATGGATTCATGCACACTTCAGAATCTCACCAGAAGTAGGCTAGTCCGTTATCAAAAGGTCATTTTTTAATAGTGTAGCAATGAATATATTTCACACATAATTCACTTTCAAACAAGCTTTCTTTTGGGCAACCCATGCTAAATCAGCGTGAAAATCTCTTAATTAGCATGTTCATTTTCGCGGATTCCGAATGACTGGCAAAAATCACCTACCAAGGTAAGTGTGAGCACGTTTATCTTTAATTTACTGTTTAATAAAGATGTGGGGACATTTTCACACGCAGATTTCGCACGTTCAATCTGGTCACGCAAATTCGCCACGTTAGCCAACAGAAAACTGCTTAGTTTGAAATTGACTTCGGAACCACATGACCGTTTGTTTTAAATTAACCTGGTCACTATAAATAGATATAATTTATTCATCCAGTAAACAAATCCAAGTGCAATAGCCGCAAAAGACACGAACATGATGGAAGAAATCAATCCCGCGCATTCATGTTCACCTCCCATTTGAGACAAGCACTTGTAAAATCGCCACATGACTAGGATCATTAAAAGGAGGCGGGTGCCTTTCACTTACATGCTGTCTGTGCTCATCTCGGTCACAGTGAACTTTGGCAAAGCGCTCTATGGATGCTGGCTGGAGTCGCTCCTCTCGGGCACTGTTGGTTGGCAAGCGTTGAGGATGCGAAAGAACAGCAAGGTACAATGACGCACCATAAATTAACAGTTACGTATTGTCTTGTTTTTAGTCTTCTGTGGTTTAACGTTGGTACGATAAAGACATGTCGCTACCTGATCGTTTCGTTTATCGCATTCTGTTTGGTGCCAATAGCTTCTGCTTAAGCAATATCACGCCAGGCACGACGCTGGATGGTAATAATCTAACACACAAGGTGCCATGAAGGTATTTAAGAACGAATTGCTGTTTCTCTTGCAGGTGACTGTTTAAGGATGAGCCCGACGCTACTGGGAAAGACAGACGTGTTTAAAAATCTAACGCGAACTTATGTGTGACGTGCTGTGGATTTAAAGTGTCTAAAACATCCTGTATGGAAATATGGAAGCGAGGAGGAACTCTACGTACCCACTTAGTTTGGGATAAACTCACTTGCCATAGGATATTAGTATGACTGATCTGGAATAATTTTGAAGTTCTGAGTTGTCAAAACTATATGAATATGTGGAAGACATCATGACAGAACTTTATGAGAGGACATAATCGTTTGTTGAGTGGATTGAAAGGAGCAGAGGGGCTATGGTGAACTCATCCCCAGCCGTCGCTGCTCATGCAGAGGGAGAAGAGATTGAGGTGCTGGAGAGCACTGATGTCCTTCCTGTAGCTCCAGTGGACGTAAGTGACAATGTGCAGATGATGTATGTTGTTGAAAAACAGCAAAGAACAGAGATTAATTTTAGATTGGGTCATCTTTTTATCAGTTATATCTCTGTGTTCATCCCTTTGTCCTCCCTCTTTCTCTGTCTTACACAAATGCTTCTCTCAGCAATGGAAGTCTCTTTTTGACAAGGTAGGATTTCTGCTATTTTGGTCTGACAGTTTCTTGTCTGTATTTGTCAGTTTGGTTAGCTGTAACTGTTCATGTGCAGCACAGGCCTTGTCCTGTTTACTAATATGACAATAATTGATAACATTGTTTAATAAAATTATAAAAAAGTTAAATAAGGGGTGTGTGTGTGGGGGGGGGGGGGGGGGTGGGGTGGAAATAATAAATAATAGAACAGAAATAATAATTTCTGTTAATTGACCAAGTTGACATTTGTCTTGAATCAAGTCCAATAATGAGAAAGGTCGATTAAGTGGTTAAAAATAACAAGTTTTATTTAGAGCAAACACGAGTCAAATTACTGATTACAGATTGTTACACAAACAATACCGGACACAGTAAGAAAAAAAGAGGAACTTGAATAGACAAGGTGATGAACTAAATACAGACAGGTGTGCTCATTAATGAATGTCAATAGACAACTAATGACTGTCAGGAAACTAGAACAAAGGAAACTAGTAACTGAAGAGAAACTATGAGTGAAACAGAGCTGGGTGACAGACGGAGAGCGGTCCACTGCCTGCCCCTTTTTTCTCTTGCTTTCAGTCTCTCTCACTGGCTCTGCACCTGCCTAACCCTGGCCCCCCACACATACTCCCCTGGGATAAAGACAGCGACATGAAGGATGAAGGGGGCCCAAATTCAGGAGAAGAAAGAGACAGATATCAATATGAAGGGAAAGGGAGATTTTAGGGTTAAGAGGGTGGCAGACGTGAACAGAGAATGAGAGCTGTATGGGTGCAGAAGGCTCATGACTGACCCTCTCCATCTCTGCTGGATAGGGGAGGGAGGGGTCTACCTTACAAGTGGGCCTCTCACTCCGCTCCCTTTATTTAGCCAACAACACTCTGAGTCCCTTAAGTGGCCTGTCTTCTGGGGTTTCGTCCAGTTTTGGGGTCACTGCCCTGCAAGGTTGTAAATTGGAGGCATTGTGGGATCTAAAGGCCAAGAACACACTTCACTGATCGCAGATGTTACAAAATAATGAAATAGAGGGGGAGGAGCTGATTTGTTATATGACACAATGTTAGAGTACAAACAATTTATAATTGACACATATTCATATTCATATCCTGATGGATGAGGAAAAGCTGTCAGCATCAGATGATTGCATTCTTAGAAAGGCTACCAGTGATAGCAAATGTCTTGTTTATTTCTGACAACTTATTAACTCACTGCATCAAAAAACCAATCCATAAACATGGAAAGATGTTAAAAGACTCATTGCGGATCATCAATTAGTAGAACTCTCTTTTAATAACAGAATGTTAGTTTATGTCCCCAGATTATTTAAGTTTCATGACTGCAAAGCAGTAAACATTTCAGTTCATATTTAGTTTATGAACTTATTTAGTCAGACATATTTAGTTTATGAACTTAGTTTCAATACTAATTATTTTATCTTTGTTTTCCATAAATTAGGAATGAGTTGGTTGATTAAATTTCACACATTGCATAATTAGTTGGATGCTATCTCTTTTGTCTCTTTCCCTAAAACCCTCCACCTATTCCTAACACTATCAATTTTTACACTTTAATCCCATAATTAAATAATCTTTGGCCAATTTATTTACACTTATTTGGTCGTGCCTAAAGCAAGCTTTAGAGGAGTTCTTTTGTAATTTTGCCTGGCTCAATCAAGTGTGCTACACGCGTCCTGAAAAGTGAAGCCAAAGCGTTTCAATCTCCCTCCCTCATGGCTGGCTGCAGTATAGGTCTGAAACCCTGCCCTCTCCATGTAATTGAATGAGACACAATTAATATTGACTTTTGCCAGTTGCTTTGTCTCTTTTCACTCTGCCAACGAAAATGGTTACATACAAGCCCAAAGCAGGATCAACTGTGTCACACAGTAGGTGGGGTTTTGTTCCTAACAAATCAGTTGAGTAAAGGATTCAGTGACTAACTCATAATGCACAATAGAGAGACTTTGATAAGGCGAAAGAAAAGGGACCTTACAGGAACAAACTCACTCAAAGCACAAAACAGCTGTATTTGGAGAAGCAGCATCAAGATATTTGTTCTTTTGCACTAATAACAGTATTATTATTTTATTATTATTACTCATCTTGTCCATGAAACTTATGTTGTCCATATATATATATATATATATATATATATATATATATAATGTTATATATTTCAGTTCTCAATAAATATTGTTAAGCCATATCAAGTTATGAAGTAAATGAAGTAAAAGTAATGAACAAGGCACTCAAACAACACTTTTGCGTATCTTCGTTAAGGCACAGCAAACAGTGAAAATCGTATGCTAAAGGCATCAGAAAACCAAGTAATCCGGCGTCTCCTCGTCTGTCAGGTCAGAGACTCTCCCTGACACTATGTCCATTTTGGTAACATAAAAAACTGTATTCCATTGTTCCTATGTTTTCCATATGTATAGTGTGAGTTACTGGAGCAGTTTAAACGCAGCAGTGACTTCCAGGCATGGTAAAACAGTGCGGAATTGCGAGAACGTTCTCTACTACCGAGTTAAGAAAACACGTAAACAATCATGTTTTGCCGTGGGAATACTACCAACATGGTGGTGAGGGGAGGGGCTCTGTACAATGATGATAACTCCTCATTCTCAATTGGTGTAAAAATGTTACTTGCTGAATAAGTCACTGAAAATCCCCACCACTAAACTGACTGACAGCCTGTTTGGAACATTGCAAAGACAAGCAGTGGGATATAAACATTGAAATTCCTTGCCCAGCTTTTAAAATTCAAGAACGGTAACTAACCGAATCCTAGGGTGACCACCCGTCCCGCGTAGCGTGTGCACGCACAGCGTTTGAAGCCTGATTCATGCGCCCCGCAAATTGAGACCGTGTCACGCATAATCAATGCTTGCTCAAAAAAAAAAAAAGTCGGTCACTCTATATCCTCGAGACCCAGGCAGCCAAATGTTGTGCCTGAACACGTTCACTTTCATGAACTCGTTCATATTTTGGGTGAACTGAACGTATTGTTCCCTTTCGTAGTCACTCCGAGTTACGTCAGGAGTGACGGAGAATGGGGGTTTCGCATAGAAAGCCAATCCTCTTCGAGTATTTAACAACGAGCCAATGGCATGAAAATGCCTTGGGGCTGCGGAATTTGCATAGCGTACCTCCGCCCCACCCCGTGGGTATAAAAGGAGGAAGTGAACGCAACCACAGTATGTTTTCGCTTCGGAGCCAAGAGAACTTCTTCACTCCACAAGCCACACAATCTGAGTTTACTATGGTGACTCACCTCTTTGAGACGAGCGAACTCTCTGGTGTTGGTAGGGATGGGTACCGAAACCCGGTATTAAACGGGCCCCGGTACTGAATTTTGAAAGACCGCTGTATCGATAAGCTCGGACGTTATCGGTTCTGCTTGTCGGTACTGGAGAAATTAAGTAAATACACGCAAGTTGGGATACTATTTATTATTCCTATAAAGAAGTTATCTTGAACATGTTTCGCTAGCCATTTCTATATATAAACTATATTTTAATTAAACCATAGTCTGTGATGCAAATTTGCAATGCGCAGTTCAGAAGAGAGAGAGAGAAGAGAGAGAGCGATCTCTCACGCAAAGCCACAGCACGCGCAACACGACAGCCCTTGCTTAATGAGTGACAATGAGGACAGAACTAAACATTCAACGTGGTTACACTTTAGATCTGGGATATTATTCTAATATATTTTGTATTTCGGCTTCCAAAGATTATAAAAAGAAGATATTTGAGATAAAACCGTTAAAAAAAACGAGATGATCTGTCCAGCTTAACTTCCTTTACTTCACAGCACTGCGGAGCACTGTCAGTTCTATACCGCCAGAATCAGCACGATCGGCGATTGTTGCAAAATTCTGTCTTCTACTGTTGCAAGATCAAAAAATGTCTATTAAAAACAAAAATCTGCGCAAGAGACGCTGTTCACAAGGCGGTGCTCGCTCCGAAAGGGACTGCAACGAAAAGTAGCCTATACTTGGGCTCGTGCGTCCTTAACTATCAAATATACATAAAATATGTCAAAATGACCAGCTCTGAGATTAACTTAAACTCAGTTTATTCACTTAAACACAATTATGTCTTAAACGGATGTAAATAATAGGGAGAAAATGATGGTGCATCAGTCCCCATTAGATCGGCACTCGGTCTTAAAGGGGCAGCAGTCTAATAGCCTAAACCTGCTGACTATTCAGCCATTAATGCAAATCAAACAACAAAAGGGAGAGAAAATCACTCACAGCTCTTGAATGAGTAACTTTAGATTTAATAAGCAGCATTATTCTATCTATAATCAACTATACAGTGCTATTTTATATTTGATTACTAGGTTTCTTTTCAGACAGAAACAATTACCTGAAAAATGTTTGTACACCTTCCTGAGATTAAAGCACTTTGTATATAATTTG